AATTGCACACTACATCGGACACCCATACGTACCGTTGCTGTATTTTTCCATCTAAAAATAAAAAAAAAACGAAAGTTTTTCATGCTCATACAAAAACGAAGCTATGCTGTTTTTTTATCATGTTATTGTATGCTACAAGCCCTTAAAAGTATAACCGCGAATTTTCAGCTTCCCATAGGCCTTAATTTTCGGAAATTAGCCAATGTTGTCTAAGGCTTATGCAGAGCTAAAATTTCGCGGTTATATTAGGCCATTCCGAAAGTAATGTCGCTTTTTTTCAAATGAACGCCACATTTTATGGAATCACGATTTTCAAGAGGTCTTGAGAGCATTCGATGCAGCAATTCGTCCTCTTTTCAAAGGTTGTAATTTCATAAGATTCAGAGCTCTCGAAAAATTACCAAAACCTGCGACTCTGCTTTTTGCCATGGTCCTTCGGCTATTTTTTCTAAATTTTTATACCTATTCTCCGAAAAAGTACAAGTGACTGGTAGATAGAGCAAACACTATAGGACACAAAGCAATTTTTTCTTTTCCTTAGCATGCTTCCTAGAGTCTCTGGAATCAACTTTTCAATACCATCAAACTCCATATTTGGTCAACTTGAACTTCGCAGAACAATAACCGGCAAGCAACTCGGGTGTCATTCGACGCAGCTTTTTCTTCTCTTTCTAACAGTTATTTTTTGTTTCTGATTATCAAGTTATCAGGGAAAAAATCATCATAATTTAGGTTTTCAAAATGGCGCCTCAGGGGGTGTAGGCCCTTTTGAACCCTTCGCGCGCGACGCTCGTCTCGCCGCGTGCGGCGCCGCTGGCAAAGCTAACAAGTCGCATTTACAGTCAACGGGAAAATTCTTAGTTCGAAGTATGTAATATACCTGTGCCAAAACCTATCATCATGTTGGACACGAAAGATGTGCAAAAATGAACGAGTACTAACTCGTTATGGCAGTGGACATGTTGACCAATCAGAGGCGCGCTGTGATAGCGAGCGGTTCAAAAGGGCCGTTTCCCCGCCTCAGGCTGTACCATTTTCGAAAGTTGCTAATCTGAAGCGGTGAACGCTCATTTGGTTTGTAAAATTAGTGTCAAACCATAACCCATCTCTAAAGGTTTTGAAATCCGAAGAATTATTGGTGTTTGATACATTTGTGTTCGAGACAAGCTTGCTAAGAATCGGTGGTTCCATCAAAAAATTGGCACAAAAATTATGACGAGCTCTGGAAAGTAGGAAAAAGTTGCGCTGTTTTCTGTATGGTTTGCTCAGTTCACATGTTACTGGAATTTCTTCGAAGGATTGTTGTAAGAATTTAGAAAAATTGTGAAACTTGGCTTTCTCAAAAAGCATAGGTTCAGATTTTGATAATTTTTCGAGAGGTTATTAAATTCTGCGCAGTAGTTAAATAACCAACAGAAAGAGTATGAAATGCCGCATCGAATGCTACAAAGTCTTGCAGAAATCTTTATACCACGAAGTGTGGTGTTCATTTGAAAAAAGCGACATTACTTTCGGAACGACCTAATAATCCCCTCTGACCTCTATTCTTTTTCTCTGCCCCTACTTACGCTTTCCTTCTTCCAGAATTTTTTAAAACGTGTTTCGGTATTGCCTCTTACATGGAAGCATTCCGGTGCCTCTAGCGTTTCAAAAACGAGGGGTGAAAAAAATACCAAAAAAGTTCAAAAGCTTTTCTAAATTTTTCTTTTTATGCGCATCATATAGAAATAAATACAGAAACAATGAAAATGATTTTTTGAATTTTTTTGGAGACGTTTTCTTCGTTGACATTCCGATGATTGCAAAGATGGCGCACACTGAGATTTGAACCACTCAGAAAAACGTGTGCGGATATGTCTGCGTTATCTCCCCATTTTTGCTAAGCGCTACAGACTATGCCTCACTTGATTACCACATTGATGGATCTATCGCTCATCACCTGAGAGAACGCCAGCTCATTTACAAAAATGGGAAGAAACGGACTTTCAGCCACAAAGTGGAAGGTAAGGAAAAACTACCTTAAGCACATTTCCTGATTTCCACCCTCGTTTTACGTAAAACATTCATTTTCAACAAACATTAACCTGATTACCACATTGTTCGGTCTATCTCTCATCACCTGAGAGAACGCCAGCTCATTTACAAAAATGGGAAAAAACGGACTTTCAGCAACAAAGTGAGTGTTTTGCGCACGGATCGCGGATGCGACGATACCGTTGAACAGGCCTTTTGACCCTGTCCACATGTCGCGAACATGAGATCTTTCCAAAGCTTCTGAGATTTTTTTAAGAATTAAAATAAAAGGTGTAATAGAAATTATCCGACAACCTAGTACATGTACACAAATGGTAAGCATAAACCACAAGCGAGTTTGGCAGACGCGCGTCAGCAACGCTTCTTGGCGGGAGACGGCTCTTCCGCACCGCTCGCCATAGCAACTTAATTAATGCGCGCTTCCGATTAGTCAGCGCTGCAACAGCGATTCGTTAAGTGAGAGCGACAGCCGTCAGTGACTGAGACGCGCAGCTGGACGATTTGCGCCAACGTCCTCACAATGGAAGAATCAAACAAGTTTCAAATTTTCCACAAGATTGTGAAAGCTGTCCAAACTGTCATTTTCACAACCTGAACTCAACTTTAGTGTTCAAAAAATTACACACATGCTTCGTAGAGCTCAGAACTATATGACAATCGTGTAACGGCTACAATTTATCAATATCATCACGTGCAACTCGACCAATTTGATAAAGAATGCAGGCGCGTGCACCGTTGGTTCTGTGGCACACTAATAAGCTTCTGGACAAAGCAATGCTGAACCACGTACATACCTTGCTGGTGAGACGATAAATCTCTGGCAGACATTACGAGAGTAGGCGCTACGGTATATTGGTTACAGTTCTTGCAAACTTAGTTCTCCTCTCTATGAACTGAGCAAAAAACCAAAACTATCACTAAGCGAACCTAAACCTGAAAAGGCTATTTTTATATGCCAAAAAATGCCACCAAAACCCAAAGATGGATGGCTGCCGTTCCTCAACGTACAGTTATGTTTATCGGACAGAGGTTTCAAGACCAGATGGTAGCGAAAGCCGAGCAGCAAAAACATTTTAGTACACCACTCTTCAGCACATCCCGCACTAATAAAGGCATCCATCGTAGGAAACATGTTCAGAACAGCTGCGGAGTTTCTTCTGATAGAGACGAGAAGATGCGTTCGCTGGAGCTCGCAGAATCAGTAGCAAGATCCAATGGATACAGCACGAAAATTCATCACCATCACAGATACCGAGTCCATCGTACACCGCCTAGGTCGGAAGCTGAAGATCAGATCCCATTCTGTCTACCATATATCTCAGAAAAGTTTAGTAGGGCTGTTCGCAGATTACTTCATCAAGCAGACCTCAACGATATGATAAGGATCGTCGACATTCCGCCCGCTAACCTTAAACAGCAGCTAGTACGAAACCGAGAGTATGATCGTCTCTGTACAACTCCCAATTGTGTGATTTGTCCGTTCGGCAAGGAGGGAGACGGTATGGTATCAGGTGTTGTATACCTTATCACGTGTACATCATGTGGAGACACGTATATTGGCGAGACGGGGCGCCCCCTGTGTACGAGCATCAAAGAACACTTAGATGGTCTTAGCAAATGCAACGTAGCTACTCCGTTAGGCATGCATCGCAGGCTCGGCCATGACGACCTCGAAGCGTTTTGGATAGCCGCCCAAAATCCAAAAATCAACCGGAAGGAGGAGTGCCTAGCCATTACTAACGAACTGTCACCATATCAGAGCCTCTGTGGCTTTCAAATAATGAGGACCACACCATCGAGTGCATGGCGCTCCAATCTACAAAAATAGACGAGTTACGAGCCTACGAAAGCACTTCACGAATTTTGCCCAAAATGTAGATCGAACACTTTCTCGAAAGTTTGCTATGAGTAATTGTATAACATGCTGATCAGATCTGTTCGCATCGCTCAGTGGATGTTCCCGTGTTGGATTTGATAGTTGAATAAATCGGAGCTCTAGCTGCAACTGCATTGGTATTCAACTAAACAGTGGAATTGCAAAGAAGCATGCGATCCTTACATTTAAAGCAAGGTTTATGAGGACGTGTTTTCGTAAGCTCGTAACTCGCGATTTTTATGGATTAGAACCTAAAACATGCACCATTCAATGGTACGGCTCTGGCAACTTTAAAACCTATGAAAGCAAGCAGGCCAGTTTTCTGACAGGTACGCCAGAAGTGCAGACAAAGCTACGAACTTTTGTAACTTATTACAGCTACCTCCTCATCTCTGCAAAAGATCCTGCATTCTTCCAAGACCACATTTTCGTAAACAACGTGTCCGAAAACCTCCATAAGCGAAATTTCCTTACAATCCAAGATCATCAACAATTCAAAATCCATCGGCTACTCAGAGTGCAGAACGAGAATACATGAAGTAGCCCGAACATCTCGAAAAACTTGCTCATAGAGGTTATCCAACCTGCTGATTACGAAAATCACATTGCTTAGCAAGAGATCTTCATATTTTAGGGTTTTGGTGAGTAAAATCAAAGACATATTTTTTCAAGAATTCACCAGCCCTTACATCTCCTTTAGAAAGGAGTCTGCGTGGCTACTTTTTGATGCTCCCTAATCTAGAAAAGAACTACTATCGGAAGGTTTTTGCTGGAATCTACTAAGGGGGGGGGGGGGGTGTGCTGCTTTACACTTCCGCAAAGAGACGTCCGCAAAAAGATTCAAAGTTTACTCAAAACGGAATATCAAGGACATGCTGTACATCAAAGAAATTGCCTAGAACTACTACGAGCTGAACACAATTCTGCTTCCGGATTCAAAAAATATTCATTTTAAAAGAAGTTATGGCATTGCGTAATTTGCCTAATTCGCGTGATTCCCCGAAATCCTGGGAATGCCGCGGACCTCTGCAGCATTCTTGGAACTTCGCACATTCTTTGAACGGCATTGTACACAGGGCAAAGTGCTTACATTTTGCTCAAAGCCCTGTCATAGAAAACATTTGAAACAATGCCGTGGCTTTCAGTGAAAAGCCCTGAAATTGAGGAGATTTCTAACAAAAATGTCTATCTCATAATTCTACTGAAGCGTAAACCTGTAGAAATAGACATGTGGTTTACAGCAGTAAAGGAAGGATATTGCGATGTTAATCCATTGGTAAATTGAACTCCTAAGGAAGCCCATTTTGCTAGATTTGGTACCTCCAAATATGCTAATTATCGTAGTAACGAAGTTTTTTTCAAACCTACTAATCTTGGGTCCAACTTGTCGTGTCGAAAGCCATCAAATGATATGATTATGAGTTTTGGATGCTCGCTGAGAGGCGAGACTGAGACAACGAAGAAATATAGAAGGTATAAGACAGCGGGATTCATATGTCTCTGAAACCGTTTTAATGAATGCATGCCTTAAAACAATATCAAAATGAGATTTTAACGTGACTGACGACGATCTTGATCTGATTGGGCATAGAGTTGATTGCGATATGATTTGCGTATAGCTAGGGATGAATGTGGACTTTTTATGTTCTGGAGTGGCAAAAAGCATTGCCTTTACATCTAATCGGCCTGGCCGCGGACTGCCAAAAGAAAACGTATTGTGATACATACTGACAAGCAGTGGTGATACATACTGACAAGCACACTGACTAAGCACCCATTGAACAGCTCTAGCCACATGACAAATATGCCTTCTGAGCTACGATACTAAAGCACAAATGTACTCAATCCGCAAAAATTCAAGTTTTCTGCCTCTGAACTCTAAGCGCACACATATAAGCATATGGCCCGAATTCGTTGTATGTACACGCACAGACGTAGACAGCGACATATGGGAGAAATTGTGAGAAGCTAATAATGTAATTGAAGCTGGAACAAATTTTTTGAACTTTTTTACAGTTTCCTGGCTAAGCAATGACTTGTCTGCAACCCACAGGTAGTGCTATGATGTACATGACGATTAAGGGGCGATGGGAAACAAGAACAAAGCGTGAAATTATGCAGTCAACTCATGTAAATCAAACTTTTTCTCCAAGTGTGGGGGCATTTTTCATTCTGATGCAATTCCGAGAATGACATCTTTTTTAATATCAATTTTTTGCACAAGTTTTTTCTACAGTAGATTTCACTAATGAAATTGAGTTTTAAAACTTTTCCTTCCTTTAATGCCAAGACTCGGATTAGCATTGATGCCTTTCATGCCTGATGTGGAGAATATATGCGTAATGGGTGGAGGATCCTTATTGTTAGTATTTTTTGGACTAGCAATGAGATACAATTCTTTTCGTATTTTCAGATTTGGAATCCTTACAAGGGAAGGATACTTGGTGATCGTGGCCATTTATAATGATTTGTATATCAAAAAATACGCCTTTGTATGCCGGTTCGAAAACTATCTATCAGTGCGAAACTGTAATCTGGACGAAATTTTGATTTTTTTTTGAAAAATGAATTACGCTGCTGGGGAGGCTCAGAATCATCAATAAGAAATTTTCTTCCCTATTTTAACTACCGAATATGATTTAGGTAGTTATAAATACAGTAGTCCGTCTAATATTTTAGAGCATCGAACGGTAAACTAGAACAAATTTGGCGACATTAACTATTCAAAGTACGCAAAACTAAAAGAAAAGTCATAAATTATTTTGAAAGGTCGTTTCGCAGATATCAAGCGCAGATTCAAAACAGCGTTTCGAGATACATCTTCTGGTATACATTACATTTCAAATGGCCACGTTTCCCAAGTATCCTTCCTTTGTTAGATGCTGGCCTTAGACTTGTGGAACAAATTTGACGACGACTTTGAGTCAATTTTGTAAACCTGGTTTTGCTCTGAAAAATATTTCGAAAGCTATTGAAAAGGTACGAAGAGTGTGGTTAATGCATCAAAAGATCTGAAAACAAAAGGTCTGGGACAACCCAAAAGATAGTAGAAACAGAGCGAGCTTCTGCTAACCAGAAGTTATGTACTGACAACCAACAACTCCAAATGGGAGTTGTTGTTCGCATCAAATGATGAGTCCTGCATAAACTCAACCAAAACTGGACGACTACAACAAAGCCGTGATGTTTTTCACGACTTTATCGTTGTTTGGCTTGCTCATAGACTGTATCAAGTTCAAATTCGTACTGCAAATCTACCAATATATTTACGCTAAAGTTTACCTCTGAAAGAACGTCTCGTCCACATTCGGACAGTAATATACTGTGTGCATCGGATCTTTGGGAGAAAACTATTAGGTTGGTGCAAAAGTAATGCGCGAGTTTGCGAGTTTTCACTTTGACTTGCTATAACTTTCCAAAAAATCTATAATTTTCAACGCGGTAAAAAACATCAGAGGCACCAAACCTTTCCCAATACAGCGCACATCTCCCTATACTCATATCACCAATGGACAGAAAAATATGGATTAATAAGCAGAAATAGTTTTTTTTCTAAAACCTCGTTTTCAACTGGTCATAACTCCGTTCAAAATTTGTTAATGTAAAAGATAAGTGGCCTACCTTGTAGCCGTAAGTCAACAGTACAAACAAAGGTGGAAAATTTTTGGACGAAAAAGATTTGCAGAAAGAAAAAAAATTAAAATCCAAAATTGTCCACTTTTTTGGAGATTCTTTCGCAGGCCTAAAAATCCCAAAATATGGGTTTTGTTGATTTTCTGCGGAATGAACAGCTACACAATTCTGTAAAAACTGTCAGTAAGAGGCCCACTCTTACGCTTACAAAAATGAGCAATGCTTTGGCGATTGCCCTCTTCAAAGGAAATTTATGAGACACAGAATGATCAAAACGAGTGCTCATGTTGAGACGCCTAAATCTCAGTCTAGGTAGTTTTCGAAAGAATAGTAAGATGTGCATAATGTAGACAATTTCCATTAAATACAGCAGCTAGAGTTTCAAAAGTTTGCCTCTGTTCGGGCTTGATTTCCGGCCAGAAAAGTAGATTCAACGAAATTCTGGTTTCGAGTGCGGTTGTGTGAAACTTCTATTATTTTTTAACTAATGAAGCTAGAAGCCCGTTTCAACCACCATTGGATAGAGAATGAAAGGATATTCTTGACAGCTTGCTAATTTTTTTCCAAAGAGAAAAGTTTGATGGAAAAGTTGTCCTAAAACAAGGGCTAGAAAAACGCGCATTGCTTTTGCACAACCTAATAAATGACTCTTTGCCTCTTGAAGTTTTACATTTGGGTTACGCTAAGGACAAGTGCGAATGACACCTGAGTTTAGTAATGTGTGATGAGTAACTACTTGGTATCTCTTTAACATTGATACTATGGTGTTTGATGATATAATCGCCTATGCAATCTAAATTTGTGTTTTTGAAGAAGTTGTTGTAAATATAATAACTTCCTACTGTCCACATGAGAGCCCGGCACAAAAGCCTGTGATATGACGAATAACACTTAATCTTGCCTTTTACTTCTGGGTACTGCGCAAAGAAGTGAACATAGCCAGTACTATTTGATTGAGCCTGCCTAGTCAACTGTCATTTTCGTTGGTCTACGTTACCTAGAAGAAGGCGCAGTAATTTTTTGCTAGTTTTCAACAGCTTACTTCCTCATAGCAAGATGGCTGCGTTGACCTTCTGACAGGCTTGCTTATATCACTGGATCGAACTCTAGCGGATTTTATAATAGTAGATTTGCAACATTTTTTAACTCGTGTAACTAATTCCTCGCCGTTTCTCACATATGCTTCCAGAACTAGACTATTGTGTTTCCTACTTCCTTGTACAACACCAGCAAAAGTGATCGTGATCGGAAGACTGCTTGCGCTTTCACCAGTATCACCGGTATCCCGTTGATCGTCGCTTGACACGAGCGGGATCCAGTGACGCCTCCATTCGTCCGTCGCGAGCGATCGTTGACTAATATCATCGCACCAGGTACACAAAGAACGCTCTGAAGGACTGCTATAAAGGACTTCGTGAACATATTCGACCATCGAGTCGGCGGTCTTCCTGTTCCGCGTTTGACGTCCAGCGGTGTCCAACCTGTTACAGCTCTGGTCCACCGATTGTCGTCAAGACGCATCACGTGTCCCGCCCATCTGATTTTATTCTGCTCGGCGAATGCGGCAGCATCCCTGATCTTCGATCGCTGACGTAGGGTAAAATTTCGTACTCCTTGATTCACTTGCGTGAGTCGGTTCACTTCTAGCATCACTCTCTCAACAGCACGTTCGATGACGCTCACAGCATGCTCGGCCTGCTTCCTCATTGTCCACATTTCAAGGGTACGTCAAAACAGGCAGAAGCTCGTGTTGAAGAGATGGGCGCGGAGCTGGGTGTTCTTGGTCTTCTTCACAAGTCCTCAATTGCCTTGCATGCTCCACATGCTGCTCGTTTCCTCCTGGTCAGTTCCGGGACTAGATCGTTCATCATGTTGACTTCCCGACCTAGGTAGACGTAGCTAGAGCATTCGGCGATCGTCATTTTATTCAGCTTGAAAGGAGCATCAGGAACCCATCCGTTTCTCATGAACATCGTCTTCGTCAGATTTAGCTGCAGACCGATCTTTCCACACACGTCATCAGACTGTGCCAGCATTTGTTCCGCCTGCGTGATACTTAATGTTATCAATACGATGTCATCGGCAAAGCGAAGACGGTGTAGTTGCCGGCCGTTTCACTCCCATGTTGTCCCATTTCAACTTACGCATGACGTTCTCCAAAGCGGCACTGAATAGTTTCGGCGATATAGTATCGCCTTATCGCAGACCTCTCTTCACATCGATGGTGATGTCCTTATAGAATGGTGTGATCTTGGTTGTGAAGTCGTTGTACAGCTTTCGAATCATCGATGTACTGAGTTGGAAAACCTTGGCTGCTCAAGGCGTCGATGACAGCCTCAGTCTCAACCGAATCAGATGCCTTTTTCAAGTCAATGAAGGTGAGTTAGAGCGGCATCCTGTACTCTCGCGATACTTCGATGAGCCCTTTTGTAGTGTGTATATAGTCGTCCATAGTGCTAATCCTTTCCGAAACCGAGCTTGTTCGTATGGTCGTCTTTCGTCTAAATTCTTTTCCGATCCTGTTAAGAATTACTCGTGAAAAGAATTTGTACACTGTGGACAATAAGCAGATAGGGCGATAATTTCCGATGTCGCGGGGGTCTCTTTGTACAGCAACACCGTCTTGCTAGTTTTCCATTGACTTGGAGTCGTGCTTTCCGTCAAATACGCGTGAAGAGCCTCGCCAGAGTTCTGATAAGAACTGGTGAGAGATTCTTTGGGTGTTATAGTTTAATCCTGTTGACCCCGGCTGCTGTACGGCTTTTCAGCGAGCTTTCCATTACATCACTGTGTTCAGCGATTAATTACTCGCAACATCAGCTTGTTGGGCTCAAATCTACCGCGAGGGACCGTCGAAGCTCATTTGT